CTCAGGCATTGTAGCTCGTTCGTCTTGGAAAATGCAAATTAAGCTGCAGATACAATGTCCCGAAAGAGTTCCTACTTTACTGGACTTTACTGAATTTTATAACCGTCGCATAAATTCGAAATAAATACGAGGAAGCAAAGAGAAACGCGTTTGAAATCAAAAAAAGGACTCGTGGAAAATATCAGGGAACGATTCGAATGAAATTAATGAAAAAATATTAATTAACTTGAACGATTGTTTTTAAACCTAACCGACACGCTCATAAAAACAAACATTTTTAATTGTTCATTTCGGTATAATCCATGACACTTATATTTTGTTTTTATTCTTTTGTGAATTTTTTCGACTAAAATTTGGAGATGTAAACTTTGAAATGGTATGTTAACTTTCTCTCGAACTACTAGATTTATGGCATAAATGCGTTAGTACTCTTTTGTAGAGATTAAAAAACTGCATCGAATAGTGGAATTAAAGTTATACATAGAGCTCCATTTAAAAATAGAATGAAATTGAAGTTTTTAGATAAGCCAGTGCACAAAAGTGAAACAAATTCGCACGCAATTGATAAAATTGAAATATAGAAATACAATTTCCGGGATTACTATTTGTGTAGAAGAACTGTAAACGCAAAGAAACTGCTTTCGTTTGAAAACTGTGGTTCCGTAAAATGGGACCAGGTCTCTAAAAATAATTAACCTTTCGTGAACGCGATTCCTTTGCAAGCTGCAGAAATATTAACGTGCAATGCGATAAGACGATTAAACGGTTCGTCGTGAGTTTGGGTGGCAGGTGCTAATAAAAATCGGTTACGCCTTATTACGCGTGACCTAGATTTTGCTACAAGTACGAAGCAGCCCTTGTAATTTTAATAAGGTGATCCGCCGAACGAAAGGCTCGTGCCACTTGTCCCGTTTATGATTGAATAATCTTTAAGAAAATGGGACTCGATATATTTTTAGAAACCGAACAGTCACAAACATAAAATACTACACCCTTAAAAGAATATCCCGTTCTTTCACGACGATAAAAATTAATTATTTCAAGAATTTGATATAATAACAGGTAGTACTTTCGAGAATAAAAATTGTTCATTCCCGCTGTAACCATATTGACGCGCGATAGAATTATTCAATTAAACATTACTAGTTCCTCTTAGTTTAAATGAATGATAACAGCATGCATTTATACATATAAAGTAATTTGTATTATTATTAATCGTTCGCACGACATTACATAATAAATGAATTAATGAACATTCAATGTGATTTTTGTTAAATCGCCACTATCTTGATTCGTTTATATCAGAAAACAGAATTAAACACGTGAGGATTAAACAATTATAAATACAACTTAGCATTGTTTAACATTACAATGTGATAATTTAAATAATTATTAACAATATGTAAGATATGAATAATGAAAGGGCCTATCAGTTCACTTAAATATTAATTTTTCGCGAAATAATTTGTCGGGACATCAAACGGACAGTTAAGATGGCTCACGCAGCTCCCCCTACTCATCCGTCATCTTAGAGGAGGTGTATGTGAGACTGCTGTGACCGAAATTTTTTATTCTGCTGCCGGACTCCGAGGAAGGAGGACTTCTCCACTACCTACTTGTTCAAAGATCACCCTTTGCTGACCAAAGGGCACCAAGGGGGACCTCTACTGGCCACTTCTGACCACTGCTGATCACTAGACCAATGATGAGCAATTGATGACCAATGGTGACCACTTGCTGACCAGTGGTAACAGCTATTTAAATTTCCCCCACTCTCTCATTTTACCGATGCAAGACTTACTTATTACCTACTTGTTCAAAGATCACCCTTTGCTGACCAGAGTGGACCAAGGGAGACCTCTACTGCCCACTACTGGCCACTGCTGGCCACTAGACCACTACTGACGAATGATGAGCAATTGATGACCAATGGTGACCAGTTGCTGACCAATGGTAAGAATTATTTAAATTCCCCCCTCTCTCTCATTTTACCGATGCAAGACTTACTCGTTTATTTTTGAATATCGGTTGACGAAAAATTGATTTTGTTCAATTTACACATGTGTATTTCGTTACTATGAATGCTTCCTCCCCTCTTAGGTAGATAATACATTACGTAAAATACGTACCCGGAAATTGTAAATAAAACTCAAATTGCTTACTTAATCATCCAAATTTATTTTGTTGCCTTCAAAGTAAGCCCCATCAGAAGCAATGCACATACGCCAACGTTTTCCCCAGTCTTCAAAACACTTTTTAAACGCTGAAGAAGGTAGCGCCTTCAGTTCCTTCTGCGAATTTTTTTTTATGGCCTCTATCGACTCAAAACGCCTTCCCCAAGGGGTAATTTGAGTTTCGGAAATAAGAAAAAGTCATATCTGGTGAATACGGTGCTTATTCGATCATATTTGTTGAATTCTTGGCCAAAATTTCGCGTATCAAGATCGATGTGTGTGACGGGGCATTATCGTGGTGCAGGATCCAAGTATTGTTTTTCCACACTTCTGGCCGTTTCCGACGAATATTTTCACGCAAGCGTCTCATGACGCTCAAATAATATTCTTTATTTACTATTCGTCCATCTGGAAGGAGTTCCGAATGAACAACACCACGATAATTAAAGAAAACAGTGAGCATGACCTTCATTTTCGAGCAACTTTGACGCGGTTTTTTCGGGTTTGGTTCATTTTCTAAGCGATATTCCGAAGATTGTTGACTTGTTTGCATATCGTACTCATAAACCCATGTTTCGTCATCGGTTATGATGCGTTTCATGAAGGTAAAGTCACTAGAAGCTCGTGAAATCATATCTTCAGCAACTGCTTTTCGATGTTTCTTTTGCAGAAAATTCAGCTCTTTCGGAACAAGTCGTGCAGCGACGCGTCTCATGCCCAAAACTTCAGTTAAAATGTTATGTACGGACATGTGAGACATTTCCATTTCATAAGCCATCTCTCTAACACTCAGACGACGATTATCAATGACCATTTTTTTTATCTTTTCGATATTTTCGTCAGTCGAAACCATTGACAGTCGGCCGGCACGCGGCAAATCTTGCACTTCTTCTCGGCCCTCTTTAAATGCCTTTTACCATTCGTATGTTTGCGTTTTTGATAGGCATCACTTACCATAGGCTTTCTCTAACATTTTTAACGTTTCGGCACAAGTAATTTCGTTAGAAACGCAAAATTTAAGACAAATTCTTTGCTCGACAGTTCTTTCCATCGCAAAAATCGCAAAGCACACTCGAGATCGACTGGTGTAAATAACTACCGTGAACACACTGGTTGTCATATTACGAACAACATTGTATTCAGTTGTTACGCTAAAATGTACTTCCACACAAAAATTTCAATACATGCACTGTGGGATTTGAAAGTGAGAAATTCCGGGAACTTATTTTACACAATGTACATCGACTGAATTGTTTACTATTTATACTCTTCTATTCTTTTAACAATTTTTGTACTACCTTAAGTACAATGGCTCTAAATGAAATATTTTCTTCGATCATTTTCTGTTTCTATTTTTCAATTATCTCTTGAACTCGTGTCTGTCTTTAACAAGAACCTATTGTTAAAAGAAGACGTATGATAAAATGTTGCTTTTGTTTCTTACTATTTCATGGAATGTTTTGATTAATTACAGTTTTTATTTTAATTTTATTTTTGAAATGGTTTTGAGACTTTCACTTATGATATTCATAAAAGACGTGTTTGAATTCCAATCAAAAACTGCTACATAAATAAAATACGAATTAAAATCAAATGCATTACAGTAAACATATCTAATCATAATTAAACAATAATTAATATACAAGATACATAATTTCGTTTGGAGAGATATAATAAACCGACCGGTTAGATATAAAAAAAAAACGTGCAAAATACGATTCAATTTTCGTTAAAATTCCGACTCAATTTGTAGTAGAAATGTATTAATTCTAAACGAAAGCACCGTTAGAGAGTAAATGCGAATAGTAATAATAAGGAAATATCAAATGGTTAGAAATACATGTGTACCTTAGTCGTGAAACGTCGACACGTCGTGACATGTCTGAACATGTCTTAACACGTCTTACCGCTTCGGTTCTTACAGCACAAATGACGCCCCCTCGCTGAATTTAGAGGGAACTCCAATGTCTCGCGAAGAGACTGTAGCAGAAACAAAATAAAAATGCATTAAAGTACATGAACAATTATTACAATTAAGTAACGATTAAATCCAAACCGTATTGCAAGAGATCGTAATTAAAACGCGAGTGATAATAGGGAGGAAAGATCAACAGGATAGAAATACGCACCTCGTTGGCCGCGAAACGCCAACACGTCTCGACGCGTCTTACCATGTTAATTTTCAAAATACGAATGACGACCCCTCGCTGTACCCAGTAACGTTCGCCAATTAGATGAAGGGGAAGCTCCGATATCTCGCGAAGCTTGTATTTCGAAACAGGAATGGGGATGCCTCAGATAGAAGCCGCGATAACAGAAAAACAAGAACGAAAATATTAGGCCTACGCACTTGAACAACGCAAACACACCTTGACTTTATAATCATATTGATGGATGACGATATAATGTATAAATTAAATATAACTCATACTTTTGTCGATTTCTAGTAGCAGATGACAAGATTCTTAAATTTGTTAACTTTATGTATTCACTTCGATGATTACATGTAATTATGATTCTTAAAATTGGATTTCTTACGCAAAGAGTGCGTACTTACGTGAGACGACGAATATTTCTATTCGATTATCGATCGAAAAATTTCTGTTCTATGGAGTTAGGAACTACTACTCACATACTACGTCTATGACAATACCAATAAAGAAAGTATCGAAATGTTCGACAAAGAAAATCAATGCAAGATTCTCGTCTACGGTTGATAAAAACAAACACAATGACTGTTTCGAGCGAATAGTGGCCCCATCTAGTGGATATGAACGAAATGGAAAGGTGGAGTGACACAATTGGCACAACGCGAGCGTAGCCCTGGGGATTTGGTTCGGAAACGAACAATTCCGGATTTGGTGTATCGCGTATCAGAAAAAATATCAAAATGAAAGTACCCTCGTGATATATTCTACGAAAACCGAATATATTGCATTTTAAACGTGGCTTAGTTCTTAAGCACAACATTATTCGGCATGTGACAGCATGCTGTAATATTAACCGTATTGGGAAAAACGAAACTGAGGACGCATAATAGATCTTTGTTTATTACTTGCTGGTTGATAAACTACCCACACTGTATAAAAATTTGATCGCTTTTGTTCATTCTACGCTGTAAATCCACATATTCATCATACAGTAAGTGTCAACGATGTTTGTGCTACATTTCCTGGCAGTTATGAATTCTCCGATTCTTTCAAAATACTTTCAATAAAATATAAAACTGAATGGGACACGACGGACTGTTAAAACAGAGCTTTTAAATACTACCATCATATAAGTATACCTCTATGTCACAATCTTGCATCACTTTTATGTCAATATGGTTTGTATAACTTTTACACTTTAAATTTAGTTTGTATACATTTTCAAAATATTTTTATGGTACACAAAGTTCTCTGTATAACAGTTTCATGTTAGTAGATATATCTTAAATAATACATGGAACTAATAACAGGTTTCTTTAGTATTTGACTTGATTGGTTACAATACTACATAGCTGTTTCTAATCGGTTATTATCGAAGAAAAAATATTAACTATAATCTTGTTACTTTATGTGTTTCATAAAAAGTGGTTAGGAACATTTGATTTGATTGCTTCTTTGAAACTCTATGTAATTACAGTTTTAAAATGAAACAAGAATTGATGGCAAAATATTTCATTGACAAAACTTAAATCATACCTTTAGTTTTTCACAGGATTTAGCACTTTTATTTAGAATTATTTAAACTATCCAAGATCAGTAACAGATTTAGTTTGCTCTTACTAAACATTTATCTTATAACTACCTAAAATTCATGTTTTAGTTAAATAATTTAGCTTAAAATATCAATTAACTGTCAAGTTATTAAATATCCAGTAGTAAATTAAAGCAGTTAAATCTATTCAAGTTTAATTGTTAACTAACTAACATATAAATTTGGTTTCTCATTTATAAAATATTACTCTCAAAATAACGTGTACAATAACTAAGAAGTTTATTTAATGCCTCAAATTAGTATATAATATAAATTACTACAGCTTATTCAAATTTATGTCTATTTATCCAATCGTTCGTAATACGATTGGAATATCAAAATATATAACTACACAAAAATTCAAATATTCAAAATGTTTATACTACCGATAAACTTGTATTTAAGATATTCTAATTTATTATAGCAGAAGGAGTAGCATAAGTACTTCTTTATAAGGAAACGATGTCTAATATGTTCAATAATTCCATTCTAATTGTTCATTTTCCATGAGATTTAGTAACAATTTAGTAATTCTATTTAATGTTCGAAGCCTTTTATAATTCTATTATTACGGCTGGAAAGAACTTTCTAAATAAAATCAACGTACGATGAAGTCAAAGAAATTATGCACAGCTCTTACAAAATGTGTTAATAGATAAAAAAATATTGTTTTGATTACAGAAATTGGAGAAGATTAGGGGGCCTAGTGCGGGCACGTTCGAGAACCGTGGTGGTTGGTGAATGGTGTTGCAGATAGACTCGGTGTGGGGTTGGGCGTCACCCCCGTTGCGCCTCCAGCTAGGGGGGTCGAGGGGCGCCTCGGGGAGAGCGACCGCGGGCGCCCCATCCTCGCAGAGGATGGGTGAGATGGTCGTGGAACGCGCGCCTTCCCCAGCTCGCCTCAGCCATACATCCGAAAAACATCCTCGTGCTACGCTCACAGAACTCAACGTCCTTCGTCGGCATCGCGAACTCTGCGATGTCGTGCTCAACGTCGGATCTAGGAAAATATTTGCGCATCGTGTTATTCTATCTGCATGTAGTCCGTACTTCAGGTAGACAGCGTTTCACATATTACACTGTCCAACAAATTAAAATCTATTCTCTGTTCCGCAATATTCACTCTGTTAGCAGAGCCTCTTGTCTTAAACACGAATCCGGAAGCAGAGCTGCTCTATTGCCCATAGTTTTATAGAAAAACGGATTTTTTGCAAAAATAGAGTATTCGTTTCTTTTTCCTATAAAAATGTACATAATTGCGTGGAAATGTACACTTTACATTTACAAACCCAAGGTATTTTTAAAGATGCAACAACGTTGTAAACAATATGTTTATCGTTCATTGTATTTCTTCGATTGGTTCTCAATATAACACAACTTTTATACGGACGATTCCGTTATCGAATATCTTAGCGCGATCCAACTTGTTACTAACATCGTAAATGTTTACAGAGCAATGTTTACTGGGGAGCTGGCGGAATCTCGACAAACTGAAGTTACGATTCGTGACATAGACGAAATGGCAATGGAATTATTAATAGACTTCTGTTACACTTCTCATATAATCGTCGAGGAAGCAAATGTTCAAACTCTCCTTCCAGCAGCGTGCCTTCTCCAGCTAGTAGAAATTCAGGATATATGTTGCGAGTTTCTCAAACGCCAACTCGACCCTTCGAATTGTCTGGGTATACGAGCGTTTGCGGATACTCATTCTTGCCGTGAACTTTTACGAATCGCGGACAAGTTCACGCAACATAATTTTCAAGAAGTACGTTCCTGGATTTAGGACTTTACTCTTTCGGGATTTATTTAACGGATCGTTTAATTACATTTCGAGTAATGCCGTGTTTGTTTTTACTGTCGCACAGGTAATGGAAAGCGAAGAATTTCTATTATTACCCGTTGGCCAATTAGTAGATATTATCTCCTCCGACGAATTGAACGTACGAACGGAAGAACAAGTGTTTAGCGCAGTTATGAATTGGGTTAAATACAATGTCAGTGAAAGAAGGCAGCATCTGGCGCAAGTTTTACAGCATGTACGACTGCCCCTACTGAGTCCAAAATTTTTAGTTGGAACCGTAGGATCCGATCTGTTGGTTCGATCCGACGACGCGTGTCGAGACTTGGTGGACGAAGCAAAGAATTATTTGTTATTACCGCAAGAACGGCCATTGATGCAAGGGCCAAGAACCCGTCCTAGAAAACCTACTAGACGCGGTGAAGTTTTATTTGCCGTCGGCGGATGGTGTTCCGGCGACGCGATTGCCAGTGTAGAGAGATTCGATCCTAATACCGCTGACTGGAAAATGGTCGCTCCGATGAGTAAAAGAAGATGCGGCGTTGGTGTAGCCGTGCTAAACGACTTGTTGTACGCGGTTGGAGGTCACGATGGACAAAGCTATTTAAATAGCATCGAACGATACGACCCCCAAACGAATCAGTGGTCCTGCGACGTGGCACCTACTACATCTTGTAGAACTAGCGTAGGTGTTGCTGTGTTGGACGGTTTTCTTTATGCTGTAGGTGGTCAGGATGGCGTTCAGTGTTTAAATCACGTTGAAAGGTAAAATTATTATTTCCACGAAATTCTTATCGATCGTCCATTAATTATTATACGATTTACGCAATAAATAAATTAAAGCAAAGCACTGTGTTGTACAGATACGACCCCAAGGAAAATAAATGGTCCAAAGTATCGCCGATGACCACTAGAAGACTTGGAGTGGCTGTCGCCGTACTAGGCGGTTATTTATATGCCATCGGCGGGTCTGATGGCCAATCGCCTTTGAACACGGTAGAAAGATACGATCCAAGGCAAAATAAATGGTCTCAAATATCCCCTATGTCTACGAGACGTAAACATCTAGGCTGTGCTGTATTTAATAATTTAATTTATGCTGTCGGAGGACGAGACGACTGTATGGAACTTTCGAGCGCGGAGCGGTATAATCCTCATACAAATTCTTGGAGCCCGATAGTTGCTATGACATCAAGAAGAAGCGGAGTAAGTTATACTTTCTTTCCTATGTTTATTTAAACCCTTTGGCCCGACGACATTTGCAATATTCAGCGCATCTTATAAATTATAGAATAGAGTTATCTTCAGAATAAAATAAAAAACATGCAGAAATACTTTTCTAAACAAAGTTCAGTTTCACAATTTCGTCCCCATTAAATGCTTTTCATTTTGTTTGCAAGTTTTCGAATAATAACAAAGATAGGGTTTAATTTTTTTCTTTCGTATTGTAGGTGGGATTAGCGGTAGTGAATGGTTTACTATACGCCGTAGGTGGATTCGATGGAACTGCCTATTTGAAAACTATTGAAGTGTACGATTCGGAACAAAATCAATGGAAACTGTGTGGGTGTATGAATTATAGAAGACTTGGTGGAGGTGTGGGAGTAATGCGGGCCCCTCAAACCGAAAACTACATTTGGTAGCTCAGGCCCCCCTCTTCAGCCCAAATGGCTGAAACCCCATTAACTCCTCTCACGCCGGTAACTCCTGTTACACCTGTAACTCCTCCCGCTCCTGTATCGGTTCCTGTTGTTATAACTAATACTAGAAAACGCTACCGCCGATCGATGAGCATTATATAATATATGCATTTTACAAGACTTTGCCTTTCTAAAGATAAAGTCAATTTCATTATAAAACAGTTTTGCATTCTTTCTTCAGCTTATCGTCCACTTTAAATATTAATTATTTCCATTTAGATGCAACACAATTATTTTGTACTAAAAATGTATGTATATTTTTCTATTTATATGGAACATATGTTCTTCGGTAATATTTATACTGCCACGATTTTAAAATTATTTCCATAATGTCTTATTTTGTAAGGTATTTTTCTTATTCTATTTATAGGTCCTCTTATGCATCACACGATGCAAATTGCAGCGGTTATAGACTTAAGTATTTTATTATTGTAATTTTTTGATAAAGCAGTCGTGTACATCGTGAACATTTTAGTAATATATGTATATGTAAAAAACAAATAGAAAGGCAAAATCTCTTCAAAACGCAATATTCATTTCGATGGGATGCTCGCACCTTCCATTTTTCAGTGATTTAAAAAAATAATGTTTGAAAGTCCGTACTGAAGTTTAAACTTTGTTATGGAGGGCTGCTTGCACACCCACTGATGCAATAATAAAAATTTAACCAATCAGATTGTTTCTGTTTCGATAGTATGCTTTTTACGTGTATCGTATCTATCAATAAGACTGAACTAAAACCAAAAATTACGTAAAAAATAAATGAAACGATGCTTCTGGCTCTAAGCACATTTTTGTTTCAAAACAATGGACAAAACACATATAAGTTACAGCATGAATTCATCACATACTAAATGTAGCGCTTAAAATTACATTTCTTCAATTACTTTTCTTTCCTTTGTTTTTTTTTTTATCTTTGTACCATTACAGAAAGTAAACTTTGGTAAATTTGTGTCCTGTTTGAAGCGACAAAATAGTAATTTTATTGTACAAAATGGTGATAGGGATCATTATCCAACAATTTCATAATGTAACGTTTGTGATAATATAATGATAAGAAACAGCAAATTCGGCTAGGATTGTAAGCAATATTTTACTAACAAATATTGTTCTGTAATTATTTAAATAGAAAGTTATAAGAAGACTGCAAAGGTTTTTGTGGATTAAGTGTGAATTTAAAGTTTACAAATCACTATAAATGTGTTACATGTATGAGATTGTTGAAGGAACCAGAACATGTGTCTAGTGTAAGGACATATTGTTGATAGTAATTGTCTCTAATAGTTTGTTATGAAATATCACTATCAGAAATTGTATGTTTTCATCGACGTACCGTGATTCTTGTTAAACAAAAATAGTCTGTTTTTATTCACAGTAAATTGTGAGGAAGTTTTTGTTTCTTCAGAAATATAGTAAATTTCTAAAATCCATATAGTGCAAGTGAAATAATTACCTTGAGTTCGAGTAAACCAATTAGAGATTTAAAATGGTACAAATTATTGTAATCGCTACTCAAAGTTCAAATAAGTGTTCAACTTCAAAGTTGATTTACAAATAGTTAAAAAAACTGTAGTTCCAATATAAAATGTTACTCTTCTGAAAAAATTTTAAACTCTACACAGCTCCTTAATTTTTATTTGAATTTCGTTTAAACTCGTATGGAAAATATTTTCGAAAAAGATAAATGTACGATATATAATATAACTTTAATTTCTACTTAATAGTTATTAAAAAATATAGTAGAGTCTTGATTATCTAATTTCATTGAAACCATATTCCCTACAAAAAGTTAAATGTAAGCCTTCTTTCATTTTTAGAGCAGACAATCAAAATGAACAAAATTATGCATAGGATAAAGTGTAATTCGTGGTACAAAGTGAAACTGAAGATAGTATGTAATACGTTTTCATTTATAAAAACATGCAACACAAAAGTATCATCGAATTTCGTTAATACATGATTTTGATTTTTTATTAAAAGGACAGTGATTGAGCTTTTAATTTTGACAGTATTTGGTCAACTGGCAATAATTAGTGTTGTTTCTTTGACCAATAACAAGACTAGATTTATAATTGAACTTTATATTGTATTAGTTTTAATATTATAGGCTATTTTATACAGATACAGTATACTTTTAATTTTAACACTTTTACTCTCTGCCATGCGTTCTCACACACAATTTCAAAACCGGGGTTCCCCTTTCATCTGTTACAGCGCTTTTATAAGCTTCCCAGATGGCACCACACATCCACTTCTCTTACATACACAAACACAGATACAGGAAGAAAAGCATTATATCTCTAACAATTAGGATGTCAGTAATTTTGTCAAACAAATTTTAAAAAGAGCAGTAATAGCTCCAAAAACGTTCTTCTTAAATTAATGAATTTATAAATGAAAATACAGATACTGTATTTTCATTTATTTAAATTATTTCTTTAAATTAAAGATACTGAATAATGAAACAAATAAGAAGAAAAACTTATGTTTTTGACAAATAAATAAACGAAATAATGAAATATTGCCAGAGTTAATTGTTAGGTAATATTAATTGAGTCTTTTTTCCTATCATGTAGTCTTCAAATGAGTAAAAAGGAAGGGATAATTTATCCCGGATAAATGGATCTTAGTGATTTTCCCCTCAAACCGCAAGAATCCATTCTCACCCTTCTATGCCTGTACTCGGAAAACGGAAAGCGTGGGAATCCAGAGAGAAAACAAAGCTAGCGGACTAAAGCAACCCTTAAGAAAATTTATGATCCTCTTGGAGAAAATGAACGGAACCACGAAGTGAAGTACCGTGAGAGCCCCGTTGTGTTTCAAGATCGTCGCGAGATTTAGTAAAAATAGAAATTCGTCAGGAGACGACGGAAACTCCGATTCGACACGACCTTTAGAAAATAAACCAAATATTTCTAATCAATACCTTTTTTTCTCTCTCGATCCTTTTCCTCGACTTTTCCTGCTTGACCGCCCACGTAGAATCTTATACAATAGCGATGTACATTATAAGACGTTGGTTCGTTTGAATCTCGCTCCGAATTTTAATGGAGTTACATGATCGCGCACTCGATGGTCATTAATCTAGTTCCCATTAATTCCCGTCGCGGCGCTACATGTGCTAAGCCCAAATTCACGCGATAGCGTAACACTTTATTTGAGATCTTTAGATATTTTCTGTTACCGACTTTCATATTGTAAAACTGTAATTATTATGCATAAATAACAATTTCTATTAAATCTGTACATATACGAGACTTAAAGCACGCCATTTTGGTCCTGTTGCAAATAACGTGGTTTTATTTACTCGAAATTGTCTTGTTGGACAAAGTATATATGTTTCTAAAATCCAGTATATTTATGTCCTTGTAACTTTGTGTATGCTAAAGGAATAATATTGCAAAAATGGAACAATACGTAACTTTTCTTTTATGTTATTACACAGCGAGTCTAGTACGAGCCATGTTGAGCGAGAGTCCGATTTTACACTGGGTGGACAGAGACGTATAAATATTGCATATATTTTTATCAAATGCAAAATCAGACTCTCATGGTTTTATTTTTTGTTTAGCGTGGTTAGTAGTGAAGTCTGCCGCGACCGTGGTTATTAACATCAAAAATCGTTTGATTATAGGATTGTCCTATCTAGGAAAACTTTTTAGTCGAAGCGATTTGAAAGAGCCCTCTACCAATGTAAACGATAAAAAATTAAAAATGGCTGATGTTTTGTTTGTGTGTAGTGACAATGTCGTGTTGGTTTGTTTAGTTAATTTTCCTGAATAATCGTACGTATTACTCGTGGAAATTCGAAGAGAAAAATGAACGCCACGAGTCTTTACGTATCGACATGTCGGCTCGTTTTACAAGCAGACGCCGACGATCCAAATTCGTGGACAGATTTGTATAGGCTAGTTCCGTATTTGCGACAAAGCCTTAGTTGTACTGTGTGTTCAAATTTATTAATCGAACCCCATACACCAACTGAAACAAACTGTCAACATCATGTGTGTCGTGGTTGCAGAGGTGGACGTAAAAAGCTTAAACCGTCGTGTGGTTGGTGCAAAGATTATGACAGATACGTCGAGAATGTTCAATTACGAATATTGTTACAGTGTTATAAAAAACTGTGTGAATATTTGACAAACACCAACATCTATCGGAGTTTAATACTTTCATTGTCTTCCAATAAAACAAGTAATAGTGCATCGGCTATTGGTGTTACCAGCCTCATGGAACTTATACAGGAAGGTTCTGGTTTCAAAGATGAATTTAAAAGTACTGCTGGTTTGTCAAAATCTGCATACAGCATTTTACCGTGTGTTTACACAAGTACAACCTCTACCCAAACCCAAGGAAATATTATGCAAAGTCCTGAAACGATATCGCAAAGTATATCTGGTATGATATATTATTTTTTTTATATAAAACCTTTCTTACAATTTATAATATCCTTTCTATCCAATTTATACTATCCTTTTTCTTCAAGAGAATTTATATCCGAAGGTATAAATACAATAAATAATAAAACTCATCCTTTCTTAAGATTTCCTTTTTTTCTTATTATTATTTTATACAGTTATATCATTTTGCATGTTTCAATGCAATACCAGTTTAATTACATAAACTTAAGATAGTTTTGTAAAACTTGTTGTTTCTTATTAAACTGTTCCATTGCACTTGTTTATTCAAAAATGTACACATACAACATTTTAAGTTGCAGTGACTCGAGCATAGAGGATGAAATTAATCTCCAATGTTTTGTACCTTTTGTATTACCTTGAAAACTACTTTAAGTACAAAAAAATTTTTGAGAGAAATGTGTTATGGTTGGTTCTTGACAGTACCAGAGTATTAAGGAGTGAGCTCCTTATTTGGGATCCATTTCGTCATGATATGATAAATAAAGAAGTCTTTTAACATTTTGGAACATGAGTATTCGTTATTGAAATGTTATAAATTGTTTAAAATTTTTGCGATAAAGGCGCGATTTCTGACGCGTAGTATTTAAATCCCAGTCAGCTGAGCGCGCAGTTTGCACGTTCTGGAGACGTGATCGTCCATTATAGAGAAGATAAGTCACGCAAGAAATACGCGCATAAAAACTTATATATACGTATCGTTAACGAAACCATAAATCTAAAAATGATAAGCGATTTTTTTATTTCTATCGGTGCGGGGAATAGATCCTAAAATAGGTCCCACATTTGCATCAATACTTTCAACGTAATATAGGGTGTTCGGCCATCCCTGGGAAAAATTTTAATGGGAGATTCTAGAGACCAAAATAAGGCGAAAATCAAGAATATCAATTTTTTGACTGAGGCTTCGTTAAAAAGTTGTTAAAAAATTTCAATCAATCTGAAAAAATTATTTTTGGTTACGGGGGTCAATTATAAGCATTTTTGGTGAATAGACATACCCTCGAATTCTTACGCACTTTCGAGAAAAAAATTCAGATAGGTGCTTAAATTTTTCACCGAAAAAAGAAAATTTCAAATCGTTCTAAAAAAATTATTTTCGGTTGCAAGGGTCAATTACAATCATTTTTGGTCAATAGACATACCCCCGAAATTCTACCTACTTTCTAGAAAAAAGTTCGAGAAAGTGTGAAATTTTTTGAAAAAATTAAAAAAATTCAAATCGTTCTAAAAAAATTATTTTCGGTTGGAGGGATCAATTATAATCATTTTTAGTGAATAGGCATACCACCGAAATTCTGCGCATTTTCGATAAAAAAATTCAGTATGGACGGAACTTTAAACTTTAATAACTTCTTAACTAAGCCTCCATCAACAAATTGGTATTCTTGATTTTCGTCTTATTTTGGCTTCTAGAATCTTCCATTAAAATTTTTCCCAGGGATAGCCGAACACCCTGTATATCATAAATATACACATTCGATAACAAATATTTCAATGCATATTTATTGATTTCGGTATATTAATAATTGAATTTTCTTATAGATTTCTTTTGTTGTTGGTTTGTAGGTGACTTATAAAAATATCGAAGAATAAACCAGATTTATTAAACAACAAAATTAATCAGTATAAGGATATTTTACACAATTTTCTTGGAAATAGTCCAAACCAATTGTTCCAAACTTTTTGGACGACGCTCACCCTCTAAAAGAAAGAATTACTACGCCCGAAATTTATAGACAAAGAATTTTCGTTACGTTTAATTTAATTAATTTACAATTAACTTTCGTTTAGGTATTAGTCAAATTTTAATATTAAAATTCGCGATTTCGCGAATATCTTGAAAAATATTCAGTATCTGACCCTATAATGATACATTTTCATAAATAAAATGAAATCTACTAGCGTTCCAAGTTTCAATAGAATCGATTACGAAAATAATGCAAAAGTGGTACCTATGAAAACGATATAAAAACAAAAAAATATTTAAGTTTCGTAGAACAAATTTATGGGAGAAGTGAATCTGTTCGATCAGTTTTGAACAAATTAGTGACTAAAAATTAATGAAATGGTACCAAGTCACTTGACATTTTCTGATAGAAGTAACTCTTGTCAAGGGATGTATTATTATAGAGCTTGAAGAATGAAAGATATAAAAGAATTAAAAAAAATTCGAAAAGGCTGTAATCGATAACCCAATACATACATGGGTTCCATAAAAAATCTGCAATAAAGCGAGGTAGGCGATTTTTTAGCAAGACTCGTTGAAAGACACTTTTCTGCTTATTATGAAGGCAAACATTGTAACCAGATTGTATCACCTGTTCTATCGTCCCCCAAAAGCATGCTAAAAAAGGGAAAGGTAAACAGAATACAAACCAATTACAATTCCTAATGCCCCCATTTTTTACCCTGTTTTGAGAAATATAATACATACAGAAAGTATACAGTATTAATCAAAACAAGAGTTATGGTATGCATTGTAATTCTCGCGTGGCAGATGGCGATTTCATTCTAGGAATACGCTCGAGCTCGAAACTCGAGCTTCTCGGCAAGAAAAGAAAATAAATACAGTAAGAGTAAACGAGAGATCGCATATTTCAAAGAGATGCCGCGTACATTATAATAAAGCATTTAATTTCAAAAATATAAATTTCTGTAATTTTCATTTTACCTTCATATAAATGCTATCAATGAATTGGTGAAGTTCTCCCGATAACAATAAGTTCAAACACGACATAAATGGGACTAATATTAATTCGCGTTAAAAGCATTTTTTCAATAATTACATAGATACATATTTGGATTGTTTATTGAAAAACTCTTCCGATTCATGTCGTATTTGGACTTATTTTTATCAGGAGAACTTCAACGATCCATTGATACCATTTTTATGAAGGTAAGATGAACATTACAGAAGTTTACATTTTTAAAATTAAATGTTTTATCATAATGTAAGCGGCATCTCTTTGAAGTACATATCTGATCTCGGTCGTCGTTGTTTGGTCTATTATATCTTTCTCGTTTGTTCTCGTTATATGTATACAGGGTGTTCGGCCACCCCTGGGAAAAATTTTAATGGGAGATTCTAGAGGCCAAAATAAGATGAAAGTCAAGAATACTAATTTGTTGATGGAGGCTTCGTTAAAAAGTTCTTAATGTTTAAAGTTCCGCCCGTACTGAATTTTTTTCTAGAAAGTGGGTAGGATTTCGGGGGTAGGTTTATTCACGAAAAATTATTGTAATTGACCTCCGCAACCGAAAATAACTTTTCCAGAACGATTTGAACTTTTTTAATTTTGTCGAAAAATTTCGCACCTACTCGAATTTTTTTCTCGAAAGTGGCTAGGTCTATTGACCAAAAATGATTGTAATTGACTCCTGCAACCAAAAATAATTTTTCAAGAACCAATTTGAAAATTTTTTTTTTCGTCGAAAAATTTAGGCACCTAACCACTTGTTGATTTTTCTTAAAAATTCGTTTTCGATTTTTAGTAGTTTTGTTTGACGCCCTACAGAAAAGTTGTCTAATTTTTTTTTTGTAGGTGCCCATGGGCTCTACTTCAGAAAAAAGTTTCATTTAAATATATTCACTATTGTAGCAGTTATGGCAGTTTGAATATTGGACCATTTCTACGATCAACTTTTCGTATATTTTTGGAATTTTTACATATTCTTCACCAACATACGCGTACTTTGCATTTTGAAAAATTAAAATCCTCCAATCCGTTCAGGAGTTATGACATTTTAAAGATTCGCATAAAATTTCAAGGAAACATTTCTGGCCTCATATTAGATTTTCGGTAAAGAATTTTTTTCTCGAAAGTGCGTAGGATTTCGGGATATGTTTATTCACTAAAAATGCTTGTAATTGACCCCTGTAACTAAATATAATTTTTTTAGTATGATTTGAAATTTTTTAATTTCGTCTAAAAATTCCAGTACTTAGTCGAATTTTTTTCTCGAAAGTGGGTAGGATTTCAGGGGTATGTGTATTCACCAAAAATGATTGTAACTGAGCCCCGCAACCAAAGATAATTTTTTCAGAATGATTTGAAATTTTGTAATTTAATTTTTTAATAACTTTTTAACGAAGCCTCAGTCAGGAAATTGATATTCTTGATTTTCGTCTTATTTTGGTCTCTAGAATCTCTCATTAAAATTGTTCCCAGGGGTGGCCGAACACCCTGCATACTACCTGTATCAAAAGGTTCAGATTACATCGAGCTCAAGATTTTGAACGGTGAGGCTGGGTTGTTGTTATTTAGGCGAAACAATTCTATTGTAATTTAACCGTGCATTACTGCAATATTTGAAGTCTGATAGGGACCTAACGAAGGAACGATACTACTCGTGGTCGAATTTTGGAGGAACTGATACTACTGGAAACTCGAACACTTGAGCGTCGTATAAGTCCACCTGGAATCATTGAAGAAAAGTCGTATTATTGATTATTGTAAAGCTGTAATATTATGTTTGTTATAAATTTGAAATATTTGTAAAAAAGAATTGAATTATTTAAGTAAAACGCTTAAATACGTTTTTACTTAATTTTGTTCCTTAATACTTTCCACTTCTTTTGTGACCAGCCCTTTTGTTTCCTTCCGGAATATAATTTTAATTGGTCGGCAACGGTTTGTAGATCTTTTCCTCTTCTCGAGCATTATTATTGAAAGATTTTCATCGTGTCGTTTAAAAAAATGAAGCTGATCGATTTTTGTTTGAAATATTTTTGTTGCCGGATTATCGAAAGTAATTGAAAAGGGTCTCCCTGTGTAGAAAAAAAACAAATAAATCATGACATTCTAATGTGTACAATTTGATTAAATATTTCATAGAGTCACCGGCTATTCGTACCGTATCAAATGGATCTTCGATATATTCGGTGATGTATGCTGGGTCTGGTAACAAAATAACAATAAAACGGAAAGCCGCTGCCGCAGAAGATACAGAAATAGGACAACAGGATATCGATGGAAATCAGCACAGCTCTGTAGGAGGGGTAAAATGTATTCCATCTTCCCACCTTAAATATGGGACCCCCTCTCAGAAAAAGTCTTCAAAGGGCAGCAAAGTAATTTCAATAGATATTCGATTAATCTCTATGCCTTACACGAAGTTTACATTGCACTATAACTTTTATTTAAATGCTAAATAATGTGCATCTTCGTTAATATTACTTGTAAGGTACAATCATATTTCTAGATTCGTATAACAATTAACAAGCTTTAATAATTCCGTATTCGATTAACATTCTTTAATACTTGTCGTTACTAACATTAGATCTAAATAAATTAAAATATATATTTCAATAGGTCCCATACTAAGATTAATGCAGATGAGAGATTTTGTACCATTTTTGTTATATTACTATAACAACATGTAGTATGTATTTATACAAATATTCTACTTACATCTGTATTAGTCTAAAAACTCTTATAATTCGTTGAAAATTTTCGTAACAGTTAAGAGTAATAGAGCTTGTTTCATTTTGAGCAGTCGTCGGGCTTTAAAAAGCCGAGATCAAGTTCTGCTCGGAGTAAAAGAAAAGGGTGTAGATGTGGTAATGCCACTGCGATACCTGGAAAGCTAACTTGTTGTGGTCAACGTTGTCCCTGTTATGTTGAAAGTAAACCTTGCGTGGAATGTAGGTGCAGAGGTTGTAGAAATCCTCACACAGCGGATGGGTTAAAGGTAGAATTTACGGAATTAAATAACATAAGAAATTTCACCGAAAAAATTCTTCTCGAGTACTTAATACAGCTGACTATGTAGTATCTCGTTTTATATTTTAGATACGGCCGCACATACCCGAGTTACATAATTTGCAATTGCAATTATCGGCTCCTTTAGACTGCGATACATTAAATTCAGATCCTTTGGGATCAGTACCACAATGCCTTTCAACCTCCCCGACAACAATTCAAGTATTAAATGTTTATTCAACTCCAAGATTAGATATCGATAATGTACCACAAAATCTACCTGCAGCCTTGTTAGTAGGAGAAGATGCTATGATTAGTACTGAAAGTGAAGCCGAAGATAGTGATATACAAATTGATGTGTGACAATGCAAATGACATTGTCAAATGTCATGTTTAATCTAATGAGGTACGTAATGTATAAAGTACTTTAACGAGAGCACGGCATATAACAAACATACTAAACTGAATCTCTGTAATTTCAGAATAATCTATCTACTATTGAAACAAAAAGTTATGGTTTTTAATCTATAATTATATTAAAAAAAATAATAAATATATTTTTATCACTCATAAATTATCTGTATTATGGCATTTTAAAAAGTCTAGAGAACTAAGTTTGTGTAAGTACGAATAAATTTATTTCCTGTGTAAGAGTAAAATATATTTACTCCATTTTTATCTTTTTAGCGTAATTCGTAACTTTTTTTTTCTTTTTTTATATTATTTTACTTTTTCAATACTCTTGTACATTATATATATATTCTAATTAGCATTATATTGTTTGTATTTAAGTTATGTGCATCCCTTATTTTTATTTTTATTACCTGCGTTACGTAGCGTGCCTGTATCACGGCAAAAAAGAATACCTCCATGTCAATATACACATTGTGCCATACTGTATATTTGCTTATTATTATGGATTTTAAATATTTAGAGATAAAAACAAAAGATTTTAACTGTTTATAATGAGAAAAAGTATTTGGTAAGGGAAACTGCAAATTGACAAGGAAATCATACAGCTGGACATTATTTAAACGTTTGTTTTTTTTTTTTTCTATACGAGAATGCATTTTGTTTGTCAACTGCTTTTATACAGGGTGGTCCACTAAAAATTCAACATTTAATTCTGCATTTTATTGTTAAAGATACAGCAGGATGTTTAAAAATTTCGTTTAATTCAACGGCCTTGAAATACGGAAGGCCACGAGTGATCCCATACAAAAAATATTTAATTGTCGCTTGTTCTTGGTTCTCAAGATACAATTATTAGAAACCGTAATTCCGATTCTATCAATCGAAATCGATTCTTTTAATCATTACTTTTTCGCTTCGAAACAGTCATGAGACTTGCTCAATATTATAATAATTATTTAGATTAGTATCGATCTCATCAATTTTAATAGCTTTAAAGTACGTCAAAGGGTAAAAGTCCATGAACGTATCAAAGCGAAAAGTTATGGTATTTGTTATGTTATAGACCATCCTTGCTTCAACATACTTCAAGATCGTTGAAATCTGTAATTTTTTTTGTTTTTTAATAAAACGATGTATCCTTTTTTTATACAGGATTGGAAACTTTTCTAACGAAAATTCAATGACCTATGATATATATATATAACTCGAAGAAAAAAAAGTTATTAAATAATCTTTCTGGGGTTATTTTAAAGATTGGACTTTCTACTTTCGCATTCCCAACTCGTATTTCCTTGAAGATTTATATATCACTAGGAAGCGAGTGAGAAAGCGAAAATGATTTTATTCGAAAAAAATGTTTAAAATTAAAATGGACCCTAGAAGTTTAAAAATTAAAAACAAAAGTTTAAATTACTATAAATTACTCGAAACTGGTGATCTCCAAGTTTTTTTACTTGCAGCAACCTGAGTTTTGGGCTAGGGGATGAGACGCGGACACATGATAGATAGTTGTGGTAAGTTGTAATTCAGTAAATAATGAAAATTTAAAATTATCGTTGTATTTCAACGCTAGCAATGGTTATTGTATAACTCACCCTGTATGTATGTATGTATCATAGGTTGTTAAGTTTCTTCTAAAGAAATTTGTGAGAAGAGGTCCGTTGTCGGATTTAAAAAATAATATCGATGATTTCGTTCATGCATACATTTTCGTATCTGTAACGACAAAAGAGTATAATTGAGTGTATCATTTTTGACGGACAACCCCGTATTTAGCGATTAGACATTATATTTTATGTATGTTACACACTAATTACATTTATTATAAGTCGACACGTAATGTTAAATTTTAAATATATCTTATAAAAAAATCTTGTAAAGTTGTATATACAAATTACACCATTGTGTTATTTAAGTTCTTAGTTAAATTTTCGTTTTGTGTAATCGTTGATATTTTTAGTCAAAGTAGGTATAACTAATAAGTTATAGACTGCTCAATACTTCAGCAACTTTTGTCAAAGATTTACAATCTAACAACGAATTTTTAATTCAAGGAGTAATAATAGAACACTATAATCATTATGAAATATTATAAATATATATATTTAAATTTATTATGTAGTTTAGTACTTGAATGATGTGATAGATCTTCCTACTTCTGTTTACAGTTATTTTTTTGTTACCAATGTTTGCATTAAGGCACGTATATACAAAATCTAAGTAACCTTTTATTTATATTTATAAGACATATATGTATATTTTGTGGATATGTGATTCATTATTTTAAAAAATACTATTTATGTTTAAGAAAACATCGTCTGAGATTACTGACAGAACCACATTTACAATACATTATGAATGTTAAAAAAATTTACGGCACCATTCAAAGGTTAAATAAGTGAAAAAAAATATACTTAAAACTGGAAACGAGACATGCATTTAACGTAATAATAGTACATACATAAAACGACGATTGTATATAATTTACAAATTAAAGCCTGTTTATATTGAGCGAAGTTAATGGTTTGTAAAACAAAAAAAAAAGTGTCTAAGTTTTATTTCATCTGAAATTGGATATCAGGTTTATTATTTGCCCAATGTTTCGATATTTTTAATATAACTATAACAACAGAATCTACTTTTATTAAGATATAAACAATATTATATTAGTTTCATAGGTGATATCTTTTAGAATTAAAATTGTTGAAAATTTACATTTTTTAAATTTATATTTCTACTGACAGAAAATTGTAGAATAATATCTACTTAAGCGACTAGAATTAAAGATTTAATTGTTCTCATACTAGTACAAAACGATGAATTAAATACTAAAAATATGTATAGAGTGTAATAGAAATATGCTACAAACTTTAATATAACAGAATATTTTCTCAACATATACGCTGTTTATTGTGAATTGTTTGCATTTTGAAAAAAAAAACACAATTGAAGATACTTCGAAAAGTAATAAAAAAAATTCGAAAGTTTAAAATCACATAAATGTGTTTGGTTTTAAAGACGAAATCAAAAGTATGTATTGCAAACTATTATATATGTATAAAATAAACGAAGTAAGATATTGTAATAAAGCTTTCCCAAAATAAGATGAAATTAATAAAAGTTGTTTGTATTTTTACAGTGTAGAGTTTGGAAGATATCGTAGGACGTACAATATTTAGTAACTAGCACATAAACTTTTTAAAATGTTCTATGTACAGGTGGTAATTTAATTTTGTTAATTCCATCTTATGTATACTGTGCTTTAATTGTACACTTCTTAAGTATAAATGCATCGTCAATTTTTAAAATGTTGCTCATAATGATAAGTAAATGGGTCAACATTCTTTTTAATTAATCATAATTGTGGTAAAAAAATACCAAAGTGTATTGTACCGTTAAAATAATTTTCAGAGCTCGTTATCGGATTAAACATGCGGGTTACAAAAGACGCTTTCAATGTAAAATTAGCACGATACAATTTTTATTGTTGCAGGAACAAGTACTTTCTGAAATTTTATTTTAATCGTATACAAATGAAAATACTATTTGAGAAGGCATAGAATTAATAGACCATTTAATAAATAGTTTTTTAAATCGATTGTGTAAAATAAAAGTTACCTGAATCGGTTCACTGTAATCCAAAATTGAACTACCAGCATGTTTCAGTCACTTTAAGCGCCCCACGAATGACGATGAGAACGGATATGGCTCCGTTCTAACTTCTCTACTTTCTCCGTCGACGATCGTGCCAGACCAGGGTATCCTGAAACAGAAGAGCCAATCAGAAAGGACGAGAAAGGGTAATTGATCAAATAATCGTCACACCTATTGCGAGAAGCTGGAAAGATGATTAGCAGGACTTGTGGCTCCGTTGGTATCACCTGGTGCTTCTCTTGAAAAATTACTATAAATAAACAAAAAAAACATACTAGATAAATAATTACATACTAACACGATTACACCTCACAAGAAATACTTACACTTTTGATAATTATCAGAAAATTGATGAATCCAAGATGGCCCTAAAAATCTCTGAGAAATAAACAAAGTAGAAAAATACGATCGGAATCGCATACGTTCTTTTTTAAGCATGGTTCTGTACATTTATTTTGTAAATAAAGAAAAACTGAAATATAGTGTACATTTTAATATTAAATTAAATATGTTTGTTTAATCTCATAAATGGTGTTACGATACAAATATTTTATTTTATTTTATTGTGGAAAGGATGAGGTTTCAGTAACAACATGGTCTTGGACATTGTGGCGCTAAACAGCTGGGCTGCGGGCAACAATCCGGTCCCCGTCGATACCATTTATCCGTCTGTCGAATGTGAAGTAATTAAGAAAGTAAATTAGATATCGTTGCCCTAAATGTAAACGAAAAATTTTATGGGAAATTGATCTATGTTAGAACCGAGCTTTTGTACGGACCAAATAGCCCAATATTATTACTTTTCTAATTCTGTGATAAAAGTCTAATGTCTGAATCGATAGGTAATTTCCTTGTTAATTGGATGTGTTCATTAAGGTCTGGAAACCTAACAATGTTGAAAGTGCCTCAAAGTAGATGTATTTTTTCTCACAATTTGTGTAAGAGACATCATCAATGTTTAAGGCGTTACAAACATTTAGATCGAGTATTATAATTCCATTAGGATCTGACAAAATATTTTTACATACACCCTGTAACGCGTAACTTCGTCCAGGAATTACATAAAGCAGGTCCGATCCGATACTATTCAAATTCGAAGTTAAAAGTATTTCAGCAGTAGAACTATATGTGATAAGTGGCCTCTTGATGGGAAATGTCCAAATTGGTTTGCACTCTTCGGGGCTTGGTTTCACGTACCAAGCTTCTGGATCGTTTCTACAATCATATTTCACGCACATCAACGGTTTTCCAGTTTTCCTGAAAATTTACAACAATACACACTGAAAAAGAAACACGTTCAAAGTAGTACTATACGGAAATTTCAAAACTGTATTTTATTACTCATTTCCATTCTGTCGTTTAAATTTTATCATGATCAAGATTAGGTTGATAATAGCATATAGCTGTACCTTGCACTTGCATGTATACCTATGTTTATAATTTATTCTTTTCGCGCTATTCCAATGTCCGAATATTTACAAAATTGCCACGATAAAAACATATTATTGTTATCGCGTTAGAAGAGATATTATTTTTAATATTTACATGCAAGCCATTTTTTGAGAAAGGTATCTCAAACGTCTGAGTTCTTGCCCAGAATTTGAGACTTTGTTCGAAAATCCCCAATTTCCGATTGCTTCCGCCACGCCTGTGCCGTTACCTCTCGAAAACTGAAATTGGCACGCCATTTTTTTCGTTAACTGTATTAATAAATTCACAACCAATAAATGATTCTTATTTTACAATGTACACTTGACAATTTTTTCAATATACATCATCGTATAAGTGTATATAATTTGACAATTAAAAATTTAAGGATGTCATATCGCTATACGAATTGAAGTACATTGTATTTACGGCCAAGCATGCAAGTACATAAAAAAAAAAAATGATGCGCATGTTTCCAAACTTCGTGCGTCTTCTGTGAAATTTTTCATTACATAATAAATTATCCAAGCAGTTTTAAACTCTGTGCAACGTATTTTAACTAATTATACAAGCATCGAATCACTTGTTAACGCGTTTAATGACTATATAGCTAATAATTTTCTAAAATCAAAGTTTTATTCTTAAAGACAATTTTATTGGTTTTTCTCCGTTTTCACCCACTTTTCGCATCGAGGGGGCCCCCGGAAACTCTTGATCCGGCCTTGCGAGCAGCTCGAAACAAAATTAATTGCAAAAAGAAAATATTTTTCGTTGTTTGTATCCCAAAGATTTCAAACGTCGCGTTCGTGCGCGCGTGCTGCGTTAATTTAGTCGGATTCAACGGGACTCGGGAAAGGGTTGGCACATTTATTCGCGGCAGATTATACGTAGTAGAACATTCGCTAAAAAAAATGTTCTATGACAACAGTGATTGAAGGTATCGGCAGGTAAATTACTAGCAAATTAGATTGCCGAGTTTTGTTAAGGCTTCCGTAAGCGAATCGAGAAACCTACCAAGAGTCAGCTTCTCTCAGAACTTCACCGACCTCCGGCAAGGTGAGTGCTACGGTGTTACAACTATAATAATCGGCCACAAGTTTCAGCGGACTTCCTGTGACACGTGTACGGGTTCTATTTTTCGAAATTCTACGCACCAGGTAAGTTACAATGCCAAAAACCGCCTGTCGAAAACATTATCGAGGAACGCGATTCGATTCTGCGAGTCTGCAGTTCGCTATTTGAAAATACAAAAATTCTAGAAGCAATGACTAATATTGGTCCATAAATTATAAATAATAGTTCGTATTATGTACGATTAAGATATCTTCCTATTTAGTTATGTTCGTTATAAATTATTTGGCTCTAATTTGAAAAAATATAAGACTTGATAGAGTATGTTGAAACTAATGAAATTATGTAGGTTTGTATGATTTTGCTAATTCGCTACAGATTATAATGAATTTATTAAAACCCAATAGAACTAAGGATATTGCGTTTTTATAAGTTAATTTACAAAATTAAATATTTTTCGCTCCGATGAACACTTTTCCATGGTGTGGAGAAAAAAAAAAAATGAGGAGTACAATGAAACATGGCGGTGGTTCCGTATGTGTTTGTGGCTGTTTTCCCACTCGAAGATACACCTGATCTCCTTTTTATAAGATTTTAAAGTTTGCAAAATAAAGAATACACACATTCTTCGAATAAAATGTGAAAGAGAAAGAATTTTTTGAAATGTTTAGAGTACACCCTTATTTGCACCCTTATCGAGTAAAAGAAGGGTTCCAGGGGTAGTCGGGACACAAAAATTTATTCTGTAACAAATATCGCTTTAACTAAGTTTTAATAAATTAATTTTTACATCTTAATGCTGTTCCCTACTTTTTATTGCTTAGTAATTATGTATACTAAAGGGCGCCAAACCGTTATTAAACCATTCTTATATAAATGTTTCAAGAACTGAAACCGATGTTACAACTGTTTTCAACCTCTGGTTTATTTTCATCTGACCGGAAATCAGGAAGAAGAAATACATCGATCCGCGCACTTTCCTCGCAGAATCGAATTTCCTGTTGACTGTCGGTGATGTAGTTTGGTGTTCCATTAACAGGACTTCCCATACACGGCAATTCTATTGATTTTTCGTAGGGGCGCAAGCGCTATTCGGTTCTTATCTGGCGAAAGAGAGGCGCGGCTATAACCATGGATCCCAGTGTACTCGCCAACATGGACAAGGACGCGTTGAAGAAGCAGATCGAGAACATGAAGTACCAAGCCAGTATGGAACGGTGGCCCTTATCGAAGAGCATTACCGCGTAAGTTCGTTTACTACCCTTTCCCGCCCGTAAATCTTTCGTATTTTATCGTATTTCCTTTTATTTTCATTTATTCTATATTATTCCCCTTTATGCACCTGTTCTCTCTCATTCCACCCCCATAGAGACTCAGAGACGCGGTGCCATTTTTACAGCTATCGCGAACGACGAGCAAATAAACGTTCCTAAACATTTGCTTCTTCGTTTTCTAGCCGAAACAGTGTACAATTTAAACATTTTGCTTTCGTGTCTTGTTAACACTAGATTTATTATTATTTTATTACGTTTACGGGGTCACATTAACAAGTTGTGTTTCTTTTAATTAGAATATATATATATTCGTATTGATATATTGATTAAATTTAATTTAAATTGCTAACAAGTAATATTTATTAGTTGAGTAAGTCAAACAAATGGCTTTTATAAATCTATGTGTTAATCAATATGCAATGAAATCTTGCGCTTCTGAGCTATTTATCGTATAAATATTTGTATTATTTTTAAGTAATTCTACAACCCCAAATTATTTATAAATAAAAGTCCCGCAACATGCAGATGAATATATATGTATGTATAATAGAACGCAATAGTTTTTCGAGCACCGAGAAGAAAAGTGTTAATAATTATTAAAATATCCACAAAGTATCTTCTATTTTAAATAAATTCCGAACGCCAAATACCTGTTCGACAAGGGATATATCGTTTTGGAAGATTTACAAATAACATATCGAACGTGTAAAATTTAATTGAAAAATTCGCGGTTGTTTTCGACGACTGTCTTTCGTAAAATTAAAGTACGGACGGTGGAATTTTTCTTTTAGTGACGTACAACTCAGCTCGAAGCTGTTCGTTCAACTATCCTCGAGAGCAAGAAAGTGTAACAGATAATTATGCTTTTAGATCGCTAGTATGCTCGATGAGCTAACCGACTATGACGATAAACGCATATTTACCTAAGAATGTCGAGAAATCGATTCTTACTAAAAGCAGAGATGCTGTACGAGAATAGAAACTTAAAGGGCGGAGGAGTAATTCTGTCCTAGACATATGTACGTTTTCCAGGTCTTTGTGACTTTGTTTGTTTGTTTAAACCGTAAACTGTCTCACATTGGAATTCCACGCGAGTGTTTACTTATATTTCGAGCATCCACGGTATTTTTTACAAATTCAAAAAACGCAGATGAGCTGCATGTCATTGAAGTAGGTTCCATTAAAAAGAAGTGTCTCCATGGCCGACATGACTTTAGCCATTCGCGACGTAACTGTCGCGGTACGACACACGGCTGGCAATTAACAACCAAGGCTGAAGTACAACGACGTTCCCATATTACAGGGACAGGATCTCCTTGGATGTGGACAGTCGATTAAATCGTATATTCGCGTACCGATCACTTTCAGACATTCAATATCGAACTTGGCTCGCATACTAGATCCACGCGATCGTGACGCGGCAATAGGCCAGTTAGGCCAGTCCACAGATGTGAGAAACCCACCCTGAAGCGCCCCTTTACGTTTCATTCGCAAATTACGATCCATCAAGGTTTAAAGAAATGCTTCAACGGGGGGATGAACAAAAATAGAGACTTGAATTTTTAAGAACCAGAGAAGAAAAATAGATAAGCGCATCAAGATATAATAAATGGACTGTTAAATCTTGGTATTTTTATCCTTAATAGATTATGCAACCGTTCGGACGGATGTTTAAAAAATTAGTATTTCTGGCTTTTATTTCCACGATGATCGAACGCAATGCCTCCCGATGACTCAAGGATAATAACAACCGATCAACGAACCAATTCGAGCTAGATTCAATCGCCTACGTAACTTGTTCTTTCGTTGTAACGGACAACCGTGTTGTTCCGCCTTACTTCGAATTAAACGTTCTTCTCCTGGGTTACATTACTTTCATTTTCTTTTCCTGCTTCCCCCTTCTACGCCTCTTTTCCCTTCCCTTCCCTTCTTACACTATAAATGCGCCAACCTTAATATTCACTATTAAATCGTTTCGACTCGTTGTCGCATATTCCTCGCGTTCAATGTTTTTTCAATTATATTGCCGATACCAAACATTTTTACGCGTTGCTACGTTTCATACAGAAGGAAATGAACACTTTGCGCAGGAATTACAGTGCCCCGGTAATCATGGCAGATACATTCACTAAACTGTTTCAATAATCAAAAATTGAAAAAGGAGAGCAAAATTATTTTTCAGCGGATCTCCCTCTTCTTGATTCATGATACCGTTCGAAAATTTGCTGACCAGTTTACGTGAGCTAAAGAATCCTAAAAAAACAATAGCAACATTGTGATATCGCGTAATAATAATCAATTAGAAATACAATGAATTAAAAATGTAATCGATCACGACTGAAATAAGTCGCGAATATAATTAATTATAAACGCAGTTGCTAAATTGTAGGGGGTAATAGCCGGACGAGAGTTTCATCGACGTACTCGAGAAACAATGGAAAATTAAAAAATACTTCCTATCTCTATTACGTTCGAGTTCGATTATACGCGGAGATGCGTCGTTAACGAGGCACCGGTTTAATAACACATAGGAAGTTCGACATTGTTCCCGGTTGCGGAACAACGCGGAACTACGTTCGACCAACGACCTTATCCCGTTCTGCGGTTTTCGAGGCGAATCGTACCCGAAAGCAAAAAGTTTCCGTGGTCGACAACTCGGAGAGTGCCCCGGAGTGAAAGGTATATACCTCCCATTTTTTTCCTCTTCCCAATCAGCACTAATCTTTAGCTACAGCTACTGTCCCCCTGGCGAGTGCCGTCTCCATTCTCTGAGTCGTTACGTTTTCCCTTTGCCAGATCGAGAAATCTTTGGAAAACGATACGTTACGTCTTTAACTTCGTTGAGTAAAACGATGGTTCCATTTGGGTGTAATGGTCAAAATGGCACTTTTGGTACTTTCCTAGAAATACCTTTTAATATTCAGCAACTATGATACTCGCTAAGATAACGCCTTCCCAACGCGATCAAAACATTAGTCGGCGCAAATAATTCTGTAACTTTTCTTTATCTCGGTTATAGCGAATAGGGTCCTTGGTAGAAACGACTAGTACTGAATAAAATTACTATAAACGTGGTGCTGCGGCAGAATGTACGCAACCGGTGGTAGCGAACGCGTTAAGTGGGAGTTTGGTCATCCATTCTTTAGATAGGAAAAGTGGAAGACTGTACACCTTCGAGTTTCCTCGATGCTTGCGGACACGTTGGGAAGGGGAATGATACCCGACGACATTCTCAGGATCGTTGTGACGTGCGTATCGGTGACCATGCGAGCGCGCTCAGCTGCATGGAACCATATGGCATCGGCGAAAGTAGCGAATTCCATCGATCGTGTCTTTGGGGGTAAACATAGTGTCGAAAAAATTGAAAAATCGACGTTTACGGATGAGTGGGACCGACGATATATAGGGTTTTCCAATAAGAGCGATTGTAAACGTTCAATTGTACTTGTTATTTGTTTGCTTGAAACGCAACTCGACGCCAGTAGATTTTTTCTTTGGGGTGGCCATCGTTCCAACAAGCCACAGTCAACGATTTGAAAGCAAAGATAATTTGTATTATTTTCAAGATTTGGTTTACAGTATTGCACTCCACCAAACGCCTTCGTGATGGTTATTTAAAAAATATTGTACTTTATATACGCGAATGTACATAAAAATAAAATAACCGTCACCTTTAGAGTATCAAATTTTCATTTTATTTCAATACAAAATCGTTTGTTCCAACAAGCCGCAAACTGTCCACGATCTGAAAGCAAAGATAATTTGTATTATTTTTAAGATTGGGTTTATAGTATTGCACTCCACCAAACGCTATCTTGTGGTGGTTAAATAATAATATTTTATACGTAAAAATAAAATGACGAGCACCTTTAGGGTATCTTTTGTAATTATCATGTTATTTCAACAAAGTTCTATCCCATTGGAAAACCCTGTACATTAAAGAGAATGCCACAGAGACTGTTGCGTTGGAGCGCGGAATAACAAAATGGAGGGAGTTGTTACCATGTCAGAAACTCGACAATAGAGAGACTCGATAGAAACAATGGTTTTAAAAACGTGGGAATTGAACTCGTTGAACATTCAAGGACGCGTCGATGGCGAATAGATGTGTTTTTCCGCATTTGTGTATCGGGGTCGTTGATCCTATTCAACGGTCCACCCGTACGTTCTAAACGATGTCGTGAATGTTAAATTGTATCTCGGACTATGTTAATTTTCCATGGAATTTTGTGATATCAGGCGTCTACGAACCAACGATCGGAATTCGATTCGGTACCTTTCTAAAAGAAATTTATTTATAGAAGAACGCGATGCAGGAGATTTTTTATGCCCTTTAGCGAACAAGATTGACCGTTTGCAAAGCTGTATAATGCATAGCAGTGGTTCTTAACTTGTGGTCCACAGATTAAATTAAAAATATAGTTTTCCAATTTACAAAAACAAAATTCCTCTTCAAAGATTCCAAAAAATAAAAAATAAATATATATTTCTTCCTTGGAACTAGATGAAACCCCTGTACATTAACAAGAAGACATGGAAAAATATGTCTCTACATCTGTCTATTTATTATTAAATTTGAAAATATGTCAAATCTAAATTCAACGTGATATCTTATCCCTCGATGATATCGAAAGTTTTACTCAAAATTATTCGCCGTTTACAGGATCGAACAACAAAAGTTTTCGTTAATTTTTTGGGTGAAAATACAAGTTGTACTTTGCAATTTGGAATCGGTTGTCGCGACTTGAAAACGCGCGGCAAGAAAATACGAAAAGTTGGTCGTAATCAGGCCTGGCGCGTTCCTTTGAAACACTGAGCTCTCCTTGAACGCAAAATGGACCCGAGTAGCCGAGTCCCTTTCACCGTGCTGTTCGCAACGAACGAGACTATTCTTTGCTCGATTCTGGCGATTTTCTTTGCAACACTTTCAACCTTGTTGCGTTCGGAGCGATCCGCGAACGCGATGTTCAATGATCCGAAATTTATGTCGCGTCGCTTTCATTCCTTGCCGCTTCGTTCGCTGAGATTTATATTTCCTCTGATTCACCGTTTCATCGCAATACGTCGATTACGTAACTTCTTCGCGCGATCTATTCTTACTCTAAACATACGAACAAAATTGAAACTCGAAAATTATATGGAATTTAAAAAATAAACAAGTAATTAAATAATCACTGAGACTCGATTTAAATACCATTAAAGTTCGTGGGTTCGTTCGAAGAAACATCGACTGGATTATCTTTCGATTAGAATCTAGGAGAAATGAGATAAAATTAATCTCGATTAGTACAAAGTATGTCCGCGGTAATCACGTCGTATGAAACATATAAAATCGTTAACTGGCCTCCATAAACGTTTTTGTGTATCGCTTAATCGTATATGTTATAGTTTTAAAATACAGTAAGTGGTTTGATCTCGTGTAAGTCGAAAATGTTGGTTTAATCGACGTTGTTGTTTCCAGGATGAGGGAGTATGTGGAAGAGAACGAGAAGACTGACCCGCTGATACACGCGCCCGACAAGAAGAACAATCCCTGGGCCGAGAAAGGCAAATGTATAGTCATGTAATCAGGACGTAGAACCGACGGTGCAGGGGGAGAGGAAAAGGAGGGCGGGAAGGTAACATCGGGCGATGAAGAATTCGTTTAACCGCGTTCGAAAGAAAACGGAAGGGGAAAAAATAAGAAACACGTGTATAGGAGTGGAGTATGACGGAAAAGAAGACGAGGGGATCTACGGTGAAGGCAGGGGGGAGGGGAGGGGAGGAGAGGGATGATTGCAAAGGAATTGCGTGACGACGGACCACGTACGAAACGCTGGATCGTGATGGAGCCGAACGTTGGCACGGAAGTACCAAAATGGCAGCGGGAGATGCGAAGGTAGAGCGAAGCCAACTTAGCCTGGATCAACTTGTTCGACGATCCGCGATTCTTCGCGGTTACCTGTTCGTACTAACTTTCCCGTTTGGCATGCGATTCGACGAGCACAGGCGTTTGAACTTGGCTCTTCTCGTTTCTAATCTCTGACGAGGCCGAATTTCGAGCAGACGCCTCGCAAGGACTAAATACGCGAAAAGTATTTCTGTATTCATACAGATATATACATATAAACACACATTATATGCATAAATATGTGTTTTTATATATATATTCGTACACACATATATATATATATGTGTGTGTATTAATTGGTTAAAACTTTCACGTTGTACGTCTTAGTTTCTTTCTCTCTCGGGTGAGCGAACGAGGGAGCGAGCAGCCGTCTTTCCGCCGTGTTAAGTACGCGACGAAACGTCTCTCGAGGATTTCAACCGATGGACGAGAAAAACAGAGACTGAACAAAAATTCACTCGGTTCGATAGAAAAATTGAAAGGTGCAGGTCGAACCGTTGGCGAACGATCCGGAATAAAAAAGTTTGGGTTACGGCGATTTTCGCGCTCGTAATCGTTCTGACTTGTTAATAATTGATGTTACGCGTCGAGACCACCATGTGCAATTCTTACCTGCTACTATTGAAAACTCTTTGAATCGTTCATTAAGGTCATAACGATGATTTATCTTTAAGTACACGGTGTAATATCATTATATGTACACTCGTTACATCATATGTCGTACGATTAATATACTATGCATATTTGTGCGAATTTCTTACGAAAATATAATATATTCATATCGTTTAAAACGTACCCTTGTATTATGCGTCTACCTCCCCTTTATCTTTCGGTTTTCTTAGCTTTTGTTTTTTATCATTCATTTACCCATTTTGATCGAGAATCGTCCTTCTTGTTCTGAAACAAAAAATATCTGTAGACGTTTTAATAATCCGTAAACATTCATTTCCCAAATAACTTTTGCAACTGTTGCTGTTTCAAAAATAGTCGACGTTTAATAATATCGATATCAAACCATATAACGTGTAAGATAAAATTATAAATGAAAATTTACTGTACATAAAGGTAACAATACCTATTTCTGGAAGAAAGATATTACTAATTATTATTCTAACAACATTAGAAGAATACACAATTTGTCCAATAATTTGAATATTTCCAAGACTCACGAGTCCAGGGATTTTTGTTAAATAAAATCAAGACCGCAGAATGTTCGGGCATGGTCTTTTGGAAGGAATTCGTAAAATAGTCTTCTCGAGACATAATCAGCTGGTTGGAGTCCTTGTACTCGTTACAGATGATGAGGATGAAGCCTCAGTTGCCTGTGCACAATTTTCTGTGTTACAGCTTACGAAGATTTCTCAGTGTTTCGCGAAGGATTTTACGCAACGCCGTTAAAAATCATCTGTTCTAATTGAAGTACGTTTTCCGATCAGCCATGATTATTTCCAAGTCATGAGTGTTTAATTCTTTAAGGTGTTTACGGATAGAAGAAATGGTTCTACGATCTGTAATCTTACGACGTGCTCCATTTTCATTCCTATTTGCACGGCTACATATTAAATGTATGTCCGCTATTGCAGCACATGTACGTTTATCGTTTCATTAATTTAAGAACACAACTTGTTAGACGCGAATAAGCTCCGGACAGTCTCCTTCGTTGATAGGGGAACACGATACAACTCTGATAGTAATTTTTGTATTAATAATAACGAGGTAATTAAAGAAAATTACTTGTATAGTCTAATTCATAAACAGTGTAACGAAATTCTGATAAAAAATTAACAAGTTCGATTTCAGCCAGCGAAGTTAATTAATATCAAATGATAATTGGATTATCATACCCTACTTGGATCTACGATGCTTTGTGACCTCCAATTGTCATTAGTACAATGAATTAATATTAATGAACAACGGCCGGTTACTTCTACAGCGCTATTTTGCGATATTCGTGAGAATATTTTCATGGCAAGCAACTGTCACGCATAAATCCGAAGTTAACTTTCTATATTTTTTCCCCGGTCGATATTGCAACGTTGTTATGTTATTGGAAATCAGTATGGAAGGTTTAAATACTTCTTATACGACTGTACCAAGAATCTACGAATTATTTCTAATACCGATTACAGAAAGGGAAAGTAAAATTCGGTACAGCGGAGCCTTGGTTTTGCACTCCAAATTAATCCTTTTGCAGATTATATTCATTTTTTTGCACTATGAATCATGTTTTAGATCACATTACACCTTTTGTGAATTTGCTTTATAAACAGTTGAATTTGGAGTGAAACACCTGTACAAAGTAGAATAAATACCATCGTTAATATCGTACTTTATAGTGTCGTCAGCTGTTAATTCTATACAAAGTTATTGGGTAATAGGTCGTGAAACTGGCGCTGTATCACGCAAGTTCTAATCAAACTTATTTGGAAACATGGCATTCCACAATGAGCAGCAGCTGTTAATACGAAAAAGTAAAATGAATTCCATCGATATTATACGTTACAGTTTCAATAACCGTTCACTATATGTACACAGAGAAATTTGGTAATAAGTTCTCAAACTTTGCAATTACATTCTAAAAGTTCTGATAAAACTTATTGGTGAAACACGGGGTGACAACTGCTAATGATCGTAGAAAGATGTGGTAACGGACAGAAAATCGGTGAATTACATTAAAACTGTTGTGCAGAACAGCGTAGAAAAGGTGTTCGCGTGGCGTAGGTTGGGAAACGCTGGTCTAGTCGGCCGATGTGGATTGCTGGATCGCCGTTTCACTCTCGCGTTCCCATTTGCCGCGCGACCGATTGGATTCGTGTTGTCCGGCTCGTAACGATACCAACACAAACGGGAACCAGTTATCGCCGAAGACTGATCGCCAATGTCCGTTTTCCATGACATTCCTTCTCCGCGTTCGTCCACTTAGCGAAACTTCAAACTCCACATTTTCTCTTCGTAGATAAATTAGCGCAGTCACAAATATTCGCCTTATTACCGTCAGTTTTGCGCCAACCGACAACCAGTTCCCTCTCCGTGACCGGTGAAATGAAATTTTCACTGTGAAACCGATCTACCTCCCGTTCAATTTCTTCAGGAACGCAGTGTTAGATTCGTGTTTCACCCCAACGTCTTTGGTAGCAATTTTGCGACGTTGGATAGGCGACAGCGTAAGTTAGGACTACTTTAGGGATTTCGTTCTGAAATCATGATGATATTTTTATCAATCTCTTAACATTTTAAAGACACGGGCTTCCTCAGTTGCATGGAATTGTATATTACACAGCGAGTCTGAGTGGTAATGGTATAATCTCCTTCTTATGAACCCAGAAAGGCGGATCTATGTATAGGAAGTAGATGATACTGTAAATAACCAGACTCGCTAGCCAATTCCTCGTCTATGCCTGGACACCAACTGCAAACTACAAATACATATTAACGAATAAATTAGAAAATGGTAATACAAAATTATATCGGAATTAAAACACAATAACACAAGAAACAGACAAGAACCAAACAATATAGAGTTTACGAATTAAAATATGACTTGTGCGTGAGTAAATGACCGCCACTAACATATAACAAAATCTTAGCACAGTGTTTTAAAACCGTTATCTGACTCCGAGAAACTATAAATCAACCTAGAAGCGTATAAATCATTGACAGAGTTTATTAGTTTCATCACAGATCAATAAGAGGCTCTCGTCAACATCTCTACTAAAAGCTCTGTGAATTTTTAAATTAAACTGCGCAAAAGATTAAACGAAAGTAGCACTTGATTTTTATAGAAATCAAAGAACCGAACTTGTATTACAAGACAAAACATACAAACAATGAAATTACAGAAACATTTCTGGTCACACATTATATAATATTTTCGGTAAAGAATATTTTTCTCGAAAGTGCGTAGGATTTCGAGAGTATGTCTATTCACCACAAATGATTGTAATTGGCCCCCGAAACCGAATATAATTTTTCCAGAATGATTTGTAATATTTTAATATCGCCGAAAAATTCGTCGACCTATTGGAATTTTTTTCTCGAAAGTGCATAGGATTTCGGGGGTATGTCTATTGATAAAAAATGATTGTAATTGATCCCTGCAACAAAGAATAATGTTTTTAGAACGATTTAAAATTTTTTAATTTTGTCAAAAAATTTCACACCTGTTCGAATTTTTTTTCTCGAAAGTGGGTAGAATTTCGGGGGTATGTCTATTGACCAAAAATGATTGTAATTGACCCCCCTAGCTAAAAATAATTTTTTTAGAACGATTGGAAATTTTTTAATGTACGCCTGTCCCCTGTGGATTTTTCTTAAAAATTTGTTTTTGATTTTTAATAAACACAATCATGGGTAATGTAGTAATACAATTTTTTAATAAAAAATAAAATATCGGCGACATATAATCCATAACATTCACCGAAGAATAGGTGTAAATATGCGGATTATTTGGAATTCTACTGTAATACTGAAAAGTATACACCTTCTTATTAAAATTATGATTTCGTTTCGCGGTCAGACACACATTTTAAATCACTTTGGGGACACGGAGGGAAGAAACGACCTGTGAACGAGGCTACCAAAAGACCAAATATTGGAGGAAAGGAGCATGATTGTCAAGAGAGAGAGTAAACCTGAGTGCACGAGAGAGGGGGCGAGAAAGAATGACAGCGGACCCTCTCGTTCACCATGGTCAGTGCTTTTCGAACTGTTGCCAGTGACAGTTCGCCGAACATGTGGCGATCGATCCTTGATCATTGATTCGCATCGATAAACGTTTTTTTATTTTCTCTCGTTGTTCGCAGATACAGTACACAGTTTAACGTTTCGTTTTCTTATTCTCGGTCGAAGCGCGCTTCGAGTTTATTGAATTTCGTCTTGGTGCTAAATTCTACTTTAGGAGTTACATTTCCCTGAAAAAAAAACTGGACGAATCATGGTAAGCAAAAACACGATCGTGAATTTAACAAAAATAAAAGTTTCTTTCCTTGACGTTAAGAAGCGGTGAAAGAGGGGACCGATTTCATTCGCTGTTTCGAGGTCGTCTTTTCGCTCGGCTGTAACAGTTTGACTCCAATTACCCTCGTTCGTCGGAACCTTTGCAGTTTTGAATGAGGTTTCACCTGTCACCCGTTACCTCTCTCTTCGCCGACCAATTTTTTAAACAGACCGCGTACACGGTATAAATAGATTTTACGGATTTCGAAATTTTGTCGACTAGTCGACTTATCGATCCGTGTCGCGCAGAGGGGGAAACGAATACGGTTTTTCGGCTCCGTAGGCCAGTTTAAATCCCGTCCCCGAAAAAATTGATCCGGTTGTTATTTAATGTTTTTCCTTTTTTTCATCGTACGACTCTGTTTTCAAACTCGTTTTATTTTTCATTCGAACGATATTACATCACGCATAGATTCAAGCAAGACCACCGTGGAACCGGTCTGTAAAGAGATCGATTTGGAAGGGATTAAACCGGACATCGAGATCGCGGGTTGCGTCGCTCAATTTTTCTATCGATGATCGTGAATTTCGTCTAAGTTCGGCTCAAGAGGGTCGTGTGCTCGAAAATCGCGAGAAACGCGAGTCGCTTCGCAGTTTAAAATTAAACTTTTGATAGAGAGATGCAATAACTTCCGATAGCGCGATGGAATCAACGATACCAGTTATTTAAACTAGATAAGCTTCGTTTCGAAACATATGCAAAGGTAAACCACAAAATGTAGCGTTGAAAAATTGTGCTGACGTCAATCCTAACGAATCTAGCTTTCCTGTTTATATTAATTATTGAGAAATTATGAGGAACCTTTTTTTATAAGAGTCGTGGAAACTTCTTGGAAAGCTCAAACAGAAATTACTCTGTTAAAAGCTCGTATAACTTTCTTTTGATACGACAAACGTGTTTTCTAGATTATTAATTATATCTATCTGATGAGATTCTCCGTATTTAGAAATCACCAATCTCCGATTCTTCGACGGTATTATACCTGTTATGTAAAAACAAAGCTGCCAAAATAAACTACTCGTGCTATAGGAATAATTATTTAATTCTCGAATAATTTTCAAGGTTCGTCGCAGATGTGTACAAATAGAGATTGAAATGTTTCGATTATTGGAAAATTCAACATATTAAATAAGATTTACTTAAAAAAAAATTCTGATTTAGATTATTAGGAATAATCCAACGTTTCTGGTTATTTTCACAAAAACAAATAAACCAAATAGAATAATAATATTTTCGCTGTAACTGGGATTATCTTTTTTTGGTTTCGAAGATTACTGATCGTAATCATGTATATTAATATAATTACAAGTAGATGCTGTTGTAAGTTATTTATCGAAACAGTAATTTATTCCACGTGATAGTTATCATTTATTATTTGCATAAAAATGAATTTCTAACAATTATATTCTGAACTTTATTTTACGAGCACGTTGGACGTTTCAATCGTTCACCAGGATCGGTAAACGCAGAGGAAACGTCAATTGGGGAAAATGTCTCGATATCGGGACGTATCTCGTAAATCAGCCAGACAGGGACAGTTTTCTGCCCACGCATTCCCGAGGACCTTCGCTGTAACAAGTACTGAGAACTCGTTTTGTCCTTCCGGGTTACCCGAGCCCTCTCACTTTCATCGTGCGACGAACTCGTCGTTCTCCTTCTCGATAAAATCAAAGAGATCGAAAACGAAATCAGAAGGAACGAGTCCGCGCAATTTAAACGCCAAGGAAAGAATAGTCGAGCGACCCTTTAACCTTTTAGAGCACAGAAAAGGATGATTTATAAACGAGCCGCAATATTAATGGCACAGCTAAACGCGCGGACGAATCCTGATATAAATCACAGAGCGACGGTGAAAACGCAAACTCTCTATACACAGAGAGTGCTTCGAAAGTAGAAAAATTTACAGAAATAGCCAGAGAAAGGACAATGCCATGGGCCATTTTTTGGCACTCGTTAATATCGAGCCTGACAAGGGAATAACAATTTATTAAAGAAGATCTCGATTCTTTTAATATTAGCATTCACATGAGCGTGAATCTGAATAATAATTATTTAATGAACATATGGCGGGAATTCGTAGCGTACACATTGCGTTGGATAAAACAAGAAAACGACTCGTAACACTTTATTTGTACCACACGGTTAGACTAACGCGGGTCTTTCTAGTCTCGTGGAATGAAAGTAACTTGATCTAAAAATCCTAACGAAGTTGGCCACTGATTTTTCATAATTTCCTCGACCGCCGTATATACTCATTATTTACGTATAATTTAAATGAAATAAAGATTACGTTGTCACCTTTCTCGTAGCTCTTTGTAACAATTCCTTTTATAATTCAGCGTCCGAGCCTCCGTGGCCATCCTCGGATGCAACATATTGCGTTGAATTATTAATGAACGCTCCTGCCAATCGATAAACGTGACTGACTGTATAACGGTGAAGAAAAAGAGAAATGTTGTTCATATATCCATTGACACCGATCGGTGAAACTCCTGGGAACCTGATTCGCGGCGTTCGTCAACTCTTCGACCGAAACGTTTCGAGAAACTCAGACTATCGTTCAAAATTGCAGTGGCTTGAACCGATTTTTCCGTTGGAAAAGACGCGTTACGGGATATTAGAATGAAAGAGCGAAGATAGAAATAGACAGGGATGCTTGTAGATTTGTAAAGGAAACCAAAAGAAATTCGATAGATTTCCCGTAACGGCAGGAAGCTGTTAAAAGTTTCATAAGCGTCGGTCTCTGCAGCGTACAGTGGTCGGGTGCATGCCCGCGGCGGAAGTTGAGTGAAAACGGCTGGCAAACGTGCGTAGCCTGAAAACGATACGAATCGATAAGTGCTCGCGCCGTTCTACCCAGAAGAAATACTTGGAAGCAGGCCGAAGAACGAATGGACCCAGTTAACTTGCCTCGACTTTTTGCCCAAACAGGTTGGCAAAGTTTTCAAGATAAAATACGCTCGTCGGTATGCCCCGATCTACCGACAGGTACGACAGGTAGTGCCTTATGTAAGTTTCACACTCGAGTAACGTGTGCGCGAACCTCTTTTCCTTCATTCTACTCAACTGGCTAAAAGGATCGCCCATTTTTTTCCAAAGAAATTCAAACGCTGCGTCTCTAAATCAGTTGGATCTCAAGCCATTGCAGTTTTCGAAGAGAGTGCGTTTCTTTGCATAATTTTCTAACATCCGACGTATCCGATCTTCCAATGTCTCAACGAAAAAGCTTGCAATTAGGAGTTGTTAATAGTCCTTTGTTTCAGTTCAAGATCTTTTGCGTTTCCTATTATCGTACAGAGTATTAATTTGTCATCCCCAAGTTATTATACTTTTAAAAAATGGATGGCGCTCGTTTGACGCTTAGCGTGGTTAGATAGTATGATAAAACCGTTTGCATAAGATTGAATTCGTTGCTCGAGACCACGTGGCTGACTGTGAATCACGTCGAATTCCTACTTTTACACCGTGCAAGTTTATTGCTCTGTTTGGCACACACAGAGTGCGTGGCTACGGACTTACGCAATGAGAGATAGAAAGGCGAGGTGACTTAACGTTACGACGGTGATAACATCCCAGTGACCTTGAGTGGCTAGCTAATTTCAATACAATTATAGATCCTAATGCTTTGTTGGACGAAACGGACCATCTTGATCCATCGCTCCAAATTCTAAAAAATTATACTCACGGGTCGAAAATGTGACAGAATTGAAACTGACAAATCCAACATGGCCAACTTGAACGATACGAAGTTATTAGATTCGTGTGAACAATTGGTATGCAGGGGATTTTAACACTTCCAACTTTCACAAAAGGAAAAGTACGCTTGCACTTTGGAATTGCACCTGTGAAAGAAAACAAATTTAGAATAGTAAGATAGAAAAATACTATTGTGACATTTTTGTCGAGTTTTACTTGAAACAGAGTTCTAACCTGCCCCTATAGTTGCTAGCTACAACTTGTACACATTCTGTTAAGAGTACCCGCTTTTTTGTGACTTTCCCACTAGTACCGACTGCTGGAACGGTCAGTTCATAAATTATCTCATAATGTAAGAAACGGGAAAGATTACAACGGAAAACCGGATATCTGCCAGCGGGATATGAAGCCTGAAGGCCAGGCATCTATACCGTAAGGATGATCGCCATGGATAATAGGCATGGTTATACACTTACACAGGTCCCAAAACTTCCATGGTGGGAGTAGTCCTTTTAATAAGGTCAAGCATGTTTCACCAACTGGTCGTCACTCGCCGCAAAGCGCTGCAATCGTTAAACAAACTGTTAGAAATTTTAGAGTAAACATACATTAACATTTTTCTCTTAAATCGTTATATCACTGTTATACCATATGAAATTTTTTCTTGTTCTATTTGGTCCAAATAAAGCATTGCCAAATTAATTGTATAACTAAATGTATCAATATGACTTAATTTCATTAAATGATCCAGGTAAAACGTTTGTTCCTTCTCTACTGATCAACGTGATGAGCGATTTTTCAAATTTTAGAATAAGTCGATATAGCGCGTTCGTCTATTAGAGTCTCTAGTTTCACGGTCTATGAACGTGATCGTACATTTTAGTCGCGTAAAGGAATATCTTGGGCACTGATCGATGAAACAGCGATTTGTAAAAACGAGATCATCTCTCTCGTAGCCTCCTCTGTAATACTGAACTGACCTAACACAGTTCTTCTGAGATGGTTGGAACGGTATAATCACCTGACCCAGTTTGCAGAATCAGCCTGTATATTTTCCAAAATATTGTCGTTCCATCCCATAGCTAGTATGTCAATGTACCTAAACGGGCACGCAAACTGAGCGGAGAAGGAACGTCTGCCGAGTGTTTAGAAAACGTGTAACCTGGATTACATGCTGTAGTCTGAATGGCCTGTAATCATCATCGTGAAAGGAAACGATCAACACCTGCCACGACCATAGAAGA